TTAATTTTTTACATTGTACTCTCAATATATTAAAAACTAGTAAATATCCGTGCCTGAAAACACTATATAATTCGTAAAAATTTTGCAAATATTTACCCATGCACGAAAACAATGTATAACACATTTCCAACAATCAATATGATTCACTAATATTTTAAAGAACTTTGACAGAATTTCAACCTTTGAAGATAGGAAAATTAAAATCATTAATAAACATTGAAAAATTAATGCACAGGCACAATAACACGTCCTAGTTTTGATTTTTCTTTTCATCTTACCTCTAACTAAAATACCACCCCATACAAAAGTTTTTACAAAAACATAATGTCTCCGTTATTCGGTGTCACTATTATTCTAAATACCTGATTTTCTATGAAGTAGTAAATATATTAATCTAAGTACCACTACCAAAACCCAGTTGCACCAAATACTATTCAACTTCCTAAAATCTTACAGTTGAGAAACAAAAGTTACATAAGAATAAAAACGTGTGAGAATTCTAATGAAGAAAATTTTCCAAGAGAATGCAGCATTCATTTGAAGCTTCTATGTTAGAATTCTACTTAGGATTTCGCTTGGGCTTTTTCACAACAAAGTTTGTTTGTTTATTCTTTTTTTTTCTTGGTTACCTTGCATCAGTTTTTTAATATAAAAGCATCAATAGATTAGTGAATTAAATAGTGCCACAGACTTGTATTCTCAATTTTGATGCCAAAGATGTTTAAAAAAACATTACAAAACATCATATAATAGAAGTGAAGACTAAGCTTTTCCAATAAACGTAAATCTGAGCTTACCACATAACTTGATTTTTTTTTCTTCCCCCAAGATCAATGAATCAACTTCAATAATGAATGCACTAAACTAATTTCATGATCCCAAACCAAACCAATTCACTTTTTCTCAATTCAATATTGTTTTTCTCATATTCACCACTTCAAACAGAATCATTAAAAAGTAAACAACCAATCCAAACTTGAATTAATCATATTAGCAGGATCAACATTAATCCTGCTGGTCAATATCCTAGCTAATGTCCATGCGTAACACAAAATAAAGATATCCAATTAGAAAAAAAATAATAGGTAAGTGACAAAATAAATACAGTAAGATAGAATAAACCTTTATAAACTCATATTCTAACTCATGAAATAGGCTTACAAAGACCATCCAATGCAACCTTTAAAAATTGAAGTTCATGATAGAATTAGAGAAATAGGCTAGTTACCTATTTTTTACACCTATTCGTGAACTATTTGAATAGCTACAACTCATTAACCATTCATTCATTACCTTCAAACCATTTCATCCGGCCTTTAATCTCAACCTGAAATGAACTAAAAAGAACTTTAAAATTATAAACAATATTGGTTACCAATAAAATAGTCGGTTCTACTAAATTGATTCTTCAAAGCATGTTATTATGTTAACTGCTCCTTGAATTTTCTACTCCTGCAATAAAAGAATTTCAATGAAGTTAAATCCACAACTTCTTATCAAACATGACACTTTTATCACTCAGTACAAAATCAGGGAAGAATCACTTATAATAAAAGTGAGAATCACCTTCTAAAATGAACACTTAATTTAATAGCAACAACATCCGTCATTTTGATCCTATTATTTAAAACATAAAGATTGTGATGAACCAACAAAGATAGCCATTAAGCAAAAGATACCTAGTTAACAATATTTAAGTAATTAACTAAAAAAATTAGAGAAAGGAAAAGTGATAAAACATAGCAAGTAGTCGTATAATGAAAAAGCAATGAGCTGGATTTTAAAAAAATTTGGATTCATATGATGCAACTATCCAAAATTAAACTACCAACTAAAAATTCCCTTTTCACATACCTAGTGTGAAAAATGTTGCACTTATGAAGAAGCTTTGAAGGGATAGTGAACTAAGGCTGGGGATAATGAACTAAGGCTGGGGACCCTGGGATTGCAATACAATCACAGGCAAAGATCACAACATCTATAATATAAAAAGACTATACAACTTAAAAAATATATTATTTNTATTTTTTACACCTATTCGTGAACTATTTGAATAGCTACAACTCATTAACCATTCATTCATTACCTTCAAACCATTTCATCCGGCCTTTAATCTCAACCTGAAATGAACTAAAAAGAACTTTAAAATTATAAACAATATTGGTTACCAATAAAATAGTCGGTTCTACTAAATTGATTCTTCAAAGCATGTTATTATGTCAACTGCTCTTTGAATTTTCTACTCCTGCAATAAAAGAATTTCAATGAAGTTAAATCCACAACTTCTTATCAAACATGACACTTTTATCACTCAATACAAAATCAGGGAAGAATCACTTATAATAAAAGTGAGAATCACCTTCTAAAATGAACACTTAATCCAATAGCAACAACATCCATCATTTTGATCCTATTATTTAAAACATAAAGATTGTGATGAACCAACAAAGATAGCCATTAAGCAAAAGATACCTAGTTAACAATATTTAAGTAATTAACTAAAAAAATTAGAGAAAGGAAAAGTGATAAAACATAGCAAGTAGTCGTATGATGAAAAAGCAATGAGCTGGATTTTAAAAAAATTTGGATTCATATGATGCAACTATCCAAAATTAAACTACCAACTAAAAATTCCCTTTTCACATACCTAGTGTGAAAAATGTTGCACTTATGAAGAAGCTTTGAAGGGATAGTGAACTAAGGCTGGGGATAATGAACTAAGGCTGGGGACCCTGGGATTGCAATACAATCACAGGCAAAGATCACAACATCTATAATATAAAAAGACTATACAACTTAAAAAATATATTATTTACTTTTGAGATTGTTGTGTAGAGATACAAAACACATAGAGATGCAAAAATATAACAGTGAAAACACTATATAAGACACTGTGTGTGGAGTTTTTAGATCATCATAGGTGGGATTCTTGGTCTTAGAAGCTACTATTTTNAATATAACAGTGAAAACACTATATAAGACACTGTGTGTGGAGTTTTTAGATCATCATAGGTGGGATTCTTGGTCTTGGAAGCTACTATTTTCACTATGTATCTTGTAAATTGACTTGCCTGTAGAATTTTTCTCACTGTTTTGTCGAGAAGCATTGTCGAAGTGACATACGCCACCATTCTCAAATTGTTTAGTATTTGCTATTCCAAGTGGAGATTTATAGGGGTTGGCATTCGGGATTCTTAAAATTGGAGAGATCTTTAAAATTGAATCCAAAAGAAGAGCAATAGATTACTAACCCAAACAATCAAATAAACCCAATAGGCATAAAAATATGAACGACTATTTTTTAATTGATTTTATTCCATCGATCAATAAACGTTAAATTTCAATTGACTCAATTCATAATATAACTAACACTCACAATTGATTCAGTTAGACCAGTGATCTATTGTCAATATTATATGAAGTACCATCTCCCATTTCAGTTACCGTAGGTGTGGAAAACTTTTTTTTTGCCCGTTCTTTCTTTGTGATAAATAGCTTGATAACTCAGTATGCAACTTAACGAACGGGGCATGAAATTCAAGTTAATCTTATAAATTGAAGCTTGTTTCTTCTAAGAGCAGAATGGGTTAATAACATTAAATGTCTGTACTACATCACCAACGAGAAGGAAGTATAGATTTTTCTCTCAGTATCAAGCATTACCCAGACTGAACTTCCACTACTGTGGCAGCCACTATGGGCAATGACATGGTGTGGCAGAGGCCGTGGAGACAAAAGACATAGAGGGATAGTAAGGAGAGATGAATTAACACCCAATTTCAAAACCCTAAATTAACACCCAATTNGGCAGCCACCATGGGCAATGACATGGTGTGGCAGAGGCCGTGGAGACAAAAGACATAGAGGGAAAGTAAGGAGAGATAAATTAACACCCAATTTCAAAACCCTAAATTAACATCCAATTCAAAATCCTAGATTAATATATTGGGTGTGTCGTGATGTGTGTGTGTGAGTGCTCTGGGTGGGTGGGGGGACTCTGTGTGTGTGTAGAGAGGGAGGNCCAATTCAAAATCCTAGATTAATATATTGGGTGTGTCGTGATGTGTGTGTGTGAGTGCTCTGGGTGGGTGGGGGGACTCTGTGTGTGTGTAGAGAGGGAGGTGAGAAAGAGAGGGGAGAGAGAGAGAAGAGAGCTTACCTAGGTCGGTGGGGGTGGTCGGTGCATGTTGAGAGGGAAGAGAGAGGTCGCAAAGGAAGAGACAACAGAAAGAAAAAGAAGAAGAGAGACGTTGGGCCCTTGGGAGTTGTGGACTGTGCAAAAGTTTGGACGGGATAAGTTTTTTGTGTGGGATGCATTCTCAGCCTTTGGATTAACTTAAAAGTAGATTAAATCTGAGCCGTCCTTGTGCTTTCCCAAATAAATTAAAATTAGATTAAATTTTGAAGTAAAAATGGATTCAAATTGAATTCTATCTTATTAATATAGATGTTGCAATGTGACTCTTTTATTAATTTTTTCGTCATTGTCAATAAGTTGATTTTTGACCAAAAAAAAATAACGAAAGCTAACAGAAGGATCATATTACAATATTTTACATACATTAGGGATATAATGTAAAAATTTTAAACTTCAAAAGTATAAAATGAGAAATTTGAAATCTTTTAGGGTGTAAAGTGCAATAACCCTTTTCTGCCTCTCTCGCATGTGTTTAAGACAACGAATCTCGTCTTTTCCTTACCTAAATTCCGCTCTCTGCATCCAGCCAACCAAAATCTCTCTCTCTCTCTGATCCTCTCAAATTGTCAATGGCGGCGGCTCTTCTCTTTCTCTGCACCTTCCCATAGCTCAGGTGCTTCAACACACACTCACACACACATACATAAAATGTAAATTTTGGTTTTTTTTTCTTCTATTTCATGTGATATTGAACTGTATCTAATCACTTTCCAAATTATATTTGAAACCCTAATTTTCTGGACGACTTCAGGTTGTAGTGCAGCCTGAACTGGTTTTTTTTTTTTTTGGGAGGGGGTTGGGGATGGAAGAGCCGGGGAAGCTGAAACGAGCGTTAATCCATTCTTCGGCTGGGGCATTTGCCGGAGCTGTATCTCGGATCGTAACGTCGCCCCTCGATGTTATTAAGATCAGATTTCAGGTCGATTATCTTTACTTTATTGCTCAATTGCAGTTATGGTTGAGGCTCAATATCTGTTGCTTTTATTTTGTGTTGTTGGAAAAAATATGCAATCTTAAATGTGTTATTGAATGTGTACTTTTTGTTGACTCTTGGTCATCTTTTATACACATCTTGCCTTTGTTCATGGTATATATAAAACCAGAAAGTAAGCTCACATATAGTTTCCATGTTAATGGCAGTTTCCCATGTTGACGGTGGTGCTGTGTTACTTTCCAGTTTACCTATTTAGGGATGTAATGGTAATGCCTTTAGGTGACTGTCTTCCATTGCTCGAGGGATTTGGAATTTGCCCACCGAAATACTTGGAAAAAGTAAAACAAACTTGAAATTTGCTGCACCAATGATGGGCACGAATCCCCTCTCGGGTTGGGAGGGAGGGAGGATGAAACGGATTTATACTTTATATGTTATCATGATTCACCAACAATAAAAAAATCAGTAACATTAAGCTTAAATCAGATTTTTTTTTTTTTTTTTAGGAAACAAAATAGTTTTTATTAATAAAAACAAAGTTTACATTAAAGTTGTTGGATGAGAAATCCAACCAATAAAAAGCAAACATAATTAGCCTATATATCACATGAAACTTATCACATGAAACGTGTTTTAGTGATTGCCTCTGTGCATGTGCTTGAATGGTAGGGGACTTAAAGATGTGATTTGTATACATTGACAGGTTCAACTGGAACCCACTTCTTCATGGGCCTTGCTTCGCAATGATGTGTATGGAGTATCAAAATATACTGGTATGGTGCAGGCAACCAAGGACATTTTCAGAGAGGAAGGTTTACGGGTATTGGTTACTTCATTATTAGAGGAATATGATCCATGTCTTAGACTTGTTTGACACCGACACTCTGCCGAAAATGAAGTGTTCGTGCTTCCTAGTTTGACGCCTTTTAAAACTTTGATTGTCGGGCCTACATTTCAAACATACCTTAGGAATGCATGTAGGAAGAATTTTTAGGTGCCTTATATATTCCAAATGAATAGATTTAAAACCCACTTTTTATTTTGATTAGAAAAACCCACTTTTTTTTTTTGCCCAAATTTGCAAGACCATTTGTATGGGTATCTGCTGAACATGATCAATCAATATAGATGCGTAGTTTTGAATGTGTGTGCATATAGATTCTCTCTTTGTATAAATACCATATGAAATGATTTTCGAGATTCATACTCCTTCCAAAATAAGCCACAATTTTATAATTCATGCTTATTTTTTTTAATAGGAAACAAAACTTTCATGCCATGAAATTATGAAAATGTACAGAAATGGTGGATAAAAAATCTACTCACAAGAGCAAAAAAATACAAAAATGAATGTAACAAAAAATAACTATCAACTACAAAAGGCTTTCCAATTGTATTGAAGAACTGATATTACGAAACTTGTTAGAAACGCAGCCCATAAGCGTACTCCTATCATGAATTATAAAACATGCAAGCGGGTGTTTCCAGCTCGTTACTACTTCATTTCTCTTCTGTGGTTCTTTGTTAGTTTATGACCATACAATACCACCTTCACAAGTTCTACCTTTGATTTCTAAAAAGAGAATACAGGGTCTCCATCGATAATTTTAGGCATGGCTTGCACCTTCTACAAAATATTATTTGAGCTAGTTTCTCATTACAGGGTTTTTGGCGTGGTAACGTGCCAGCACTGCTCATGGTTATGCCATATACTTCCATACAATTTACCGTGTTGCACAAATTGAAGACATTTGCAGCTGGTTCTTCCAAGGCAGGTCCGTTCAAGAACCAATATGCCCATTTTGAAAATTATAATTTTTTCCCTCTTTGGCAATGCAGTGTTATATAGGATTATAATTCACGTCACAATGACTAATCTCTCCCCGAACCCCCATCACCCAGTCCTGGTTCTGTGGTCATTCAGTTTGGCTAATTTCAATTGAGTTCAATCACATGCATTTTTGCGTGCTTGACGTTGGATTGATATTGATTAACTGCTGATCCTTCNCCCCACCCCCCATCACCCAGTCCTGGTTCTGTGGTCATTCAGTTTGGCTAATTTCAATTGAGTTCAATCACATGCATTTTTGCGTGCTTGACGTTGGATTGATATTGATTAACTGCTGATCCTTCCGGATATGATGCAGTTTTGAGTTGTTTAATTGTTTGAACAAATCTTTGGAACGACTCTGGTTAGTCATGATGCCATAAGTTGCTTTTACTGAGACTTTTGGCATCCTGTATGCATTTTCTTTGTCGAGTATTTTGTCATCTAGGGGGGATTATGTGTGTTTGGTTATGGTGATGATCCATAGGATTTCTGATGTCCATTGTTGAAACGTGTGCCAGTCAAAATTCCTTTCCATGTCTTGCCTTTGGTAAAAAAAAAAGGGGGGGGGGGAATTGAAAAATCGTGTCCTGTTAGAGATGCCAACACTTACAGTTGCTCAATACAAGGAGCATTAACCTTGGAAAAAGGCCTCCGAATTAAACATTTTTTTTTTGTTGTTGATGTTTTTTCACTCTCACATGCATGGCCTGGTTGTTTTCCTTTGTTGCAGAAGATCACATTCACTTAAGCCCTTACCTATCTTATATCAGTGGGGCATTAGCAGGGTGTGCGGCTACTATTGGATCATATCCGTTTGATCTTCTAAGAACTATTTTAGCTTCACAGGGGGAGCCAAAGGTATATTTGAATACGTGCAATGAAATTAAATTATGTCCTTGTATCTATCTTTTTATTCCCAAGAAATTTTGTTTTACTATAGTTGCTAACTTTGCATGGGATTCAAATTTTGAAGGCCCGCTACTCACTCATTATTGCCCACCTCTCTACGTGGGAAAAAGGAAAAGTAAAGGTAAATATCATAGTTGGTCTCTGAACTTNGTTAACTTTGCATGGGATTCAAATTTTGAAGGCCCGCTACTCACTCATTATTGCCCACCCCTCTACGTGGGAAAAAGGAAAAGTAAAGGTAAATATCATAGTTGGTCTCTGAACTTTGCTTCTGATTTCAATTTGGTCCTTGAACTTCAATTGTTCCAATTTAATCCCTCAACTATCAATTTTGTCTCAATTAAGTCATTCCGTCCATTTCCACCATTAGATCAATGCTTAAATGTATTAGATTAAGCTTGTGTCCGGTTGATCTAACGGTTGAAATTGTTGGAATGACTTAATTGAAATGAAATTGATAGGTGAAGAGACTAAATTGGGATAATTGAAAGTTCAGGGATCAAATTAAAACTGGAGACAAAATTCAAGGACTAATTATGATATTTACCAAAAAGTAAAAGTGCCGCATCTTCACTTAGGAGAGAAGGCTCCTCTTTGTTTGATGTTTAGCAAACGTTCTCTTTTAACTTCTGAAAACTCTAGTTTATCATTGGGGCTTCTATTTTCCATCGGTATATTTGCCTGGGGGCACCATAATAGACAACGATATCAGACTTTTTTGATTTTGACAAGAAACAGTGAAACTACAAATCATCAGGCATAGTTTGCCTTTGTATTATTTGTTGACAATAGTGTTGGTGCACTATCTGTCAACATGTTTGGTTTACTCGTGTAACATAATATTGCTGTCTTGAGCACACATCTATATAATAAATTAGATAGGTGTTTGAACTTATGGGGGGTATATCACCCCCCCAAAAAAAAAAAAAAAATTTACACGCCTAACACACTTTCCTCCTAAATTTCAAAAACTCAATACACACTCCATAACACACAGTTACACATACACTCCAACACACATTCCAATGCATGCACAGAATCATAATTTAGTGTACAGTGGCTTAAGTTAGTGTCAGATTCTGAATAGGGTAAATTACACTTTGACCTCTCAACTATGACTATTTTTTCACTTTGCCCCCTCAACTATAACCATTTTATCACTTTGTCCCCTCAATTATGACCATTTTTTCACTTTGTCCCCTCAACTATGACCATTTTTTCACTTTGCTCCCTCAATTATCATGTTTTTCACATTGTACCTCAACAATGTGATTAGTTTCATATTGCCTTAGTTATTAATCTTCGTTATGCCTCTAACGGAAAGTTATTTCATTTTTGCTCCCCAAACTATGTAAAATTTTTCACTTTACTCCGATATGTCAGTAATTTTCGTCCAAAAAGATAACGGACGTTTTCAATCGGGGCAAGGTGGAATAATCAAAGTAGTTGAAGGGGTAATGTAAAAAATTTAATAGTGCAAGAGACAGTGAAAAAAGGGTCATAATTGAGGGGGGGAAATGTAATTTACCCTTCTTAATATTATTCCTTTGATGTAAAGGGAGCTTAGAAGACGACAGGCGTGAATTGGTCACCATTATGCTGTTTTATGGGGATTCCACTCATAGTATATGACATTTATTCCTGTTCCTTGCCATGGAAATTTAGCATAAAGGTGTAGCAAAAAAAAAAATAAAATTAACAGTGAACATGTTATTTCATCCATCATATCCACATGCATTGAGATTCTTTGGGCATGCTAATGTGCTATATCTGCATTTAGGTGTATCCAACCATGAGGTCTGCATTTGTTGATATAAGCACCACTCGTGGCTTTAGAGGGTTGTATGCTGGATTGTCACCTACACTGGTTGAGATTGTTCCTTATGCTGGCATGCAGTTTGGAACCTATGATACATTCAAGCGGTGGGCCATGGTAAGTTTGCATTCTTCTTTTCAATGTAATATGTCACTTCTCATTTTTTGAATGTATACAATTCTCGTTGTGCATACATATATACATTCCTTGATACATTTGTTCCATTCCATTTTGGAGAAGTTCGGTATGACTAAAGTGAGATAAAGCTGTCAAAATTTCAAAATCTCTTGTATTTACTTGGTGCACATTATTTATGCTTTATATTTTGTTCTGTATTCTGGATGCTAGAATCAAGTTGTCAAAAGCATGGGTTCTTGGATGCAGTGGTGAGTTGTTCTTCAGTTTCTAGGAATGATAGGTTTTCAACCATCCTGGCTTGGCCCCATAGTCCAAACGGTACAGATTTGGAAAGACCGGTTTGGAAGGCTGCCTGATGTAGATTGTAGTAGGGANTTTGTTCTGTATTCTGGATGCTAGAATCAAGTTGTCAAATGCATGGGTTCTTGGATGCAGTGGTGAGTTGTTCTTCAGTTTCTAGGAATGATAGGTTTTCAACCATCCTGGCTTGTCCCCATAGTCCAAACGGTACAGATTTGGAAAGACCGGTTTGGAAGGCTGCCTGATGTAGATTGTAGTAGGGAAGAATTAGGGATGAAAAGGGAAGAAGAAAGGGATGTGGATAGAGAGAGAATTTGAGGAAGAAGGATTCTATATCAATAATCAAAGTCTAATCTCACAACAAATATGTATCCCCTATATATATAAGGAGTTCACAAATCCTATATATATAAGGAGATCACAAACCCTAAAATAAATAAATAATCAAAATAACAACTAAAATCTTAAAAATTAAAAGAAAATATTTGNGTGGATAGAGAGAGAATTTGAGGAAGAAGGATTCTATATCAATAATCAAAGTCTAATCTCACAACAAATATGTATTCCCTATATATATGAGGAGTTCACAAATCCTATATATATAAGGAGATCACAAACCCTAAAATAAATAAATAATCAAAATAACAACTAAAATCTTAAAAATTAAAAGAAAATATTTGAAAAGATAAATACTAATTGTTCTCATGATTAATCTAAAATATCTATTCAATTCCTATACGATCTCCATCATTGCCCATCCTTTCTCATTTTTAAAGCTAATGGGAGAGGTCGGGTCAATATATAGAATCCAGTTGTTCAAAGTCGAAGTGAATTTTGCAATTCTGTGAAACTTGCTTGATTATACCCAATTAGAGTTCTTTCTGGAAACTAGTTAATGCAGACGNCGTGATTAATCTAAAATATCTATTCAATTCCTATATGATCTCCATCACTGCCCATCCTTTCTCATTTTTAAAGCTAATGGGAGAGGTCGGGTCAATATATAGAATCCAGTTGTTCAAAGTCGAAGTGAATTTCGCAATTCTGTGAAACTTGCTTGATTATACCCAATTAGAGTTCTTTCTGGAAACTAGTTAATGCAGACGTGCGTTGCACATGGATTATTGTGAATTATGATTATTTCATAATTTTTTTATGTTGATTATGAATTAAAATATATGTAGTGATTTAATCTGTAATTTTATTATGAACGTCTTTTAATTTTTTCATATCTAGTAAATAACTTAATTAGTGAAAGACAGAACACTTAGTTGGTTTAGGTTTCAATAAGAGTTTTATATGATTAGTTATGATTATAGGATAACGACATTACAAAGCTTAATTTTTAAATAAAATCTAGCTTAAGTTTGATTTTTGATAGGAAATGGGTCACGTCAAATTCCTCATTGTAGACGTCTTAATTTTGGTTAATGTCCAGAAAATATTGAAATGATATTTACTGTTACTTGAGAATGATATTCACTTATAAGTAAAAGCAGCATCAATAATGAGCAAAAATGAAAGGCTTAAAAGACTGAATAAATTTATATCAATTCCTAAATTACATGTCTCTCAATGAGATGATCATAAACTGCAACCAGGATCAATAGGAGAAATTCAATATGCCAAAATTCTGCTACATTATAGGCAGAAAATTCTGCAATGTTAGAAAGATGAAAAAAGTGACTTTCCTCTTACCACATACTCTTCTAGAATATTTTTGGATTGACGTTGTGAATATGTCATTATGTTCATGGTTTGTAGAACAAAAACAAGTTGTTGGAGTGTATTCAAATATCAACAACCAAATGAAATATGAAAAACAAGAATTTGATAACATATGATATATATGAAAAATTTACTAATCTAGACATCCATGGCTCTTTAAACCAAGAAAAGAAAAGAAAAAAATAACAACTTTCTTGCTCTCTTGCTAAGATCAATGGTATATCTTCATCCTTCGCAACAGTCGTATATGACTTGATTCACTTTCTTTAGATTTGGTTTGGGACTCGAAGTTCTGAAGAGTTTGTGTGTAGATATATTTACATGGAGAGATAGAGAAAGAGATGGAGAGAGGGAGACCTTTTGCGAGATTGAAACTAAACCTATGTAGGCATAACCAAATACACTGAAGCAATAAGAGTTTATTTTCTTCATCCTCCCGTAGATCTCCTAAAACAACAAAAAATATATAATCCCCAAGAGATAAACAATCAATAATAAAAACATGAGTAGTTTACAAATAAAAAAATGAGAATTAATACTTCAGAGAGAGTTTTTATGTGCAATGAATTTGGGAAATTTAAAGAACTCAAAAGTGAATCACTCTAATGAGAGAAAGCGTGAGAGAGAAATTCTAGAGAAGTGAAAAGTTACCAAGTAGCAATTGTAAAGTTATTGAGATGAAAACTGGAAGTTTTCAAATACAATAAGGAATAGAAACAGGTAAAACATAAGAAGCCTGTCAAGTGTTAATGCTAATGATGTGTTCGCCATTTGTCTTTTGGTATTCCAAATGATAAATGATATATTAACCGGAACTTAATATTTATTCATAAATTTCTTTAGGGTTATGTATAGTTATTTGCAAATTATTTATGGTAGCTATGGATAGTAGATAAAATGGACATTAGATAATCAATTGAGGGTAAAGTAGGAAAATAAAAGTTTTGCATGTAAAGGTACTTTTATTAGTAGTATAGATTTATAGTTCTTGGTTATGTTTTAAGGACAGATCCTAAAGATGTGAAGGAATTGTTATTCTTAAATTTATTTTTTTGGTGTGTAGTCCAGTTTTTTCCTCTCATCTTTAATAGGATATTTTGGGGATAATAAACATTTTGTAAACATATGTAGCCTTTTTCTTCTCTTGACCAAAAAAATTCTGTTGTTGCTGACCAAATGTAAATATGTTTTTCTTTCCTGTCTATAAATTTTTTGATAACGGTGAAATGCAGGCTTAACATGATTTATCTTGTTTTTTGCAGGCTTGGAACCGGTTTNACAAAATTCTGTTGTTGCTGACCAAATGTAAATATGTTTTTCTTTCCTGTCTATAAATTTTTTGATAACAGTGAAATGCAGGCTTAACATGATTTATCTTGTTTTTTGCAGGCTTGGAACCGGTTTAGGTCATCTAATGCAAACCAAGCTTACAATAACCTTTCAAGTTTTCAGGTTTTGATTTGTGGGTTAGCTGCTGGCATATGTGCTAAAGCTGTCTGTCATCCACTTGATGTGGTCAAGAAGAGGTTCCAGGTAGATATCCAACCTTCTTGATCTGATAGATATCTCCTCTTAGCATCAAATATTTGTACTGAATCTACTGGCAAACTGTTGTTTGACGACTACCTATTTTTGGCTGAACACTGTTGTGGTCAATGTGCTCATCTGTAACCATCGGTGAGCAAATCTTCCTTATGTTTTTGTAGTAAGATTACAGATACCAGGATCGTGGATACCCCTACTGTCTCGCGAAACGGGGTTGCACGACCCGAAACAGGGTGGGTTCGTGATCTGGATCACTTAAATTCTCGACCTCAAATTGTAATGTGTATATGAATGTACAATTAAATATAATCTCATATAATATAGAAAGAAATCCAATAAAAATGAACCATGACCCAGAACAGCATACCCAACTAAACTTGTCCCCATCGCACCATGTATTGGAAGAAGTACCATACTGAGAACCCATAGATGTATTTATATACCAAATGGACCCAGGGTCGAGGTAACATTGAGTAAGAATGTAATGTTATCAATTTGTTCTTGGGTAATTTGTGAAAGAGCACGGAATTCTAAGTGAGATTAGAAGAATCCTTATTCTCTGTCATGCAGAGGGGTTCCATATTATCAAAACTGGATCCAAACTAAATTTGATTGCTTGAAAGGCCAAGCTGAAACTGAAATGGGATTGAGGCCAACTTAGATCTTCATTCAGTTTGTTTTACTTTTCTTCCAATACTTATGGTCCCCGTTTATCAAAATTCTGTCTTTGCCTTACTGGGTTGATTTCCAACTTTTAGGTGGGCACAAGGACTTCATATAAGGATCTCACATACCCGTCTTTTTAATCATATTTTTTTCAGCACAATGTTTTCTTCCTATATTTGCTTCTGGTCTTTCCGTAGTGATGAGGATCGTGTAGGAATTGGATAGATTAATTATGATAGTTATTTAGATATTTTTAATATTTATCGTTTAAGTAATTTCTTTTAACTTTTAAGGGTTTTGTTATCATTATGACTATTTATTTCTTTTAGAGTTCTTTTAAGATTTGTGCTCTTCCTATATATATAGAGAATATAGTATTTGTTTTGGGGGACTTTGATTATTGATTATTGATATTGAATTTTCTTTTTAAAATTCTCTCTATTCTCATCTCCTTCTTATTCTTTTCTTATCCCTTTCTTCTTCCCTTCTCATCCCTAATTCTTCCCTAATACGATCTACATCAATTTGGTATGAGAGGCTAATTTCGATTTGAAAAAAAAAAAAAAACGAAGTTACTGTTCATCGCACTGTTCACCCAAAAACTGTTCATCCAAAAACACTATTCATCAGTGAAAAAAAAAAAATTGTCCCAGCAGATTTAGAAAATTACAAAAAAATCCTAGTTGTTCCAGAAATTACAGAAACACCCTAGAAAGTTACAGAAGTTGCAGAACTACCACTAGAAGTTTCAAAAATTGCAGAATCTTCCCTCAGAAGTTTCAAAAATTGCAGAATCATCCCCAAAAGTTTTAGAATTTTTTTTTGATTATGGTATGCATACTTCCCATGAAATTTGAGACTAATATTTTTATTCATTAAAAAATTAGAGAATTTGCAAAGCATCCAAAACATATTTTCTTCTATTTAAGTTTTGTCACTTCTCATAATTATTAATTGCGTTTTTGAACTCATTGTTATGTTATTCTCATTTTTTAAAGTCAATCATGAGTTCATATGATCATTATGATGCCTATTCATATACTTATCCAACATCAAGAATGTCTCAAGTTCATAGTTCTCTACAACGTCATCACTATACATATTCCACTCTTAGAGTTCTTGGAGTCATTATAAAGTCCATAATAAGTTTGAGTTTTATTTTGAATATTATCTAGAATACTACTCTGGGACACTTTGGTCACATAACAGTTACTAATATCATGCTTCCCAAAGTTGTTATCAAGGTCAATCTGGATCAATTTTCAATGTTATTAGTGACCATTCAAAAGCCCAAATTGCCCTAGGAAAAAAAGTTGAGATCTTTGAAATTGAAGTTGCCAACACTAAACATTCACTCGGCCAATTACGTGAAGAATGTAGAGGGGTGAAAAACCAATTATCTGAATTAACAAGTCAACTTTTTCACTTGAATAAAATTCTTGCAAGTCAGTAAATGAAAGAAAATAAGGACAAGTCTTCAGTTTCACCTAATGTCGGACACCCGCATAATGATAGCCATATTTTTGTTCCANATTTTTTCACTTGAATAAAATTCTTGCAAGTCAGTAAATGATAGCCATATTTTTGTTCCATTAGACCCTCATGCTTTACATCCTTCAAAACATACTTTCAATCGTTTGAGCATTGATACTAGTGATGAGATTATTTTTGATCCTATCATGTTTCCTACCTCATCAGTGCCAGAAGTTGAATCACTACTAAGCATTGAACTTGAGGAAAAATTCATTCAGTTAGCTCCTATGCAAGATGTTGAGCATATTGAGCTATCTATTTTACAATCTGTTGGCAATTATTCTATCTGTACTATTCCGAATCATCATGGCATTGTTGTGGATTCTTCTTCATTTGAGATTATTGATTTTGTTTCGGATTCTTCTTCACCTGAGATTGTTGACATTGTTCTAGATTCTGCCCCACTTGAGATTGTTAACTTTGATTCTTTACCTACTGTCAAGTGTTTAATTGAGTCTGTACTTTCTTATTTTCAGCACCAAGGTGTTATAATCACTCCTTTGTCATTGATGTCTTGTCCCGTTGAATGCCAGTTGTTCAAATCTAATGGGAATTGTTTTGTTATTCTTGAGTTTGGATCTATTGCTTATTTGCTTAATTTTTCATTGAATGTTAGTATTAGTTCAGATTTTTATTTGGAAGACATGTTACTTAATCGAGATACTTCAGAGCTTCCTATTTTGTTATCAGGTGTTTCTACAAGTGGAATTGTTTCTTCCTCAGCATTAGTTCCAACTCTTATCTTTCCACTTTCATCGCGTATTTCAAGGCAAATAGATGATGTGTTACGTGATTAGAATTAAATTGCTACAGATGGAGATTCTTGCATTTATTCTGATCGATGGAAAGATATTACTGGTTCTTTCATTCTAGATGAGACATTATGTCATCTTCATCCTCCTCTCTTGGGGTACTTCTACTTTAAAGATTTCCAAAGGAGAGTTTTTTTCAACCGGAGGAGAATGATGAGGATCGTGTAGGAATTGGATAGATTAATTATGATAGTTATTTAGATNTACTAAGCATTGAACTTGAGGAAAAATTCATTCAGTTAGCTCCTATGCAAGATGTTGAGCATATTGAGCTATCTATTTTACAATCTGTTGGCAATTNTGCTAAGCATTGAACTTGAGGAAAAATTCATTCAGTTAGCTCCTATGCAAGATGTTGAGCATATTGAGCTATCTATTTTTACAATCTGTTGGCAATTATTCTATCTGTACTATTCCGAATCATCATAGCATTGTTGTGGATTCTTCTTCATTTGAGATTATTGATTTTGTTTCGGATTCTTCTTCACCTGAGATTGTTGACATTGTTCTAGATTCTGCCCCACTTGAGATTGTTAACTTTGATTCTTTACCTACTGTCAAGTGTTTAATTGAGTCTGTACTTTCTTATTTTCAGCACCAAGGTGTTATAATCACTCCTTTGTCATTGATGTCTTGTCCCGTTGAATGCCAGTTGTTCAAATCTAATGGGAATTGTTTTGTTATTCTTGAGTTTGGATCTATTGCTTATTTGCTTAATTTTTCATTGAATGTTAGTATTAGTTCAGATTTTTATTTGGAAGACATGTTACTTAATCGAGATACTTCAGAGCTTCCCATTTTGTTATCAGGTGTTTCTACAAGTGGAATTGTTTCTTCCTCAGCATTAGTTCCAACTNTATGAATTTCAAAACTCAGATTTTCAAACCCAGGGTGAGAAATTTGGTTAGTATCCCATTGGATCACCTAACTTGGTGGTACGAAAGGAGTTTTTGCCACTGAAACAATAGGGCTACCAAATCTTGAAACTACAAAATTCTATAACTGGACAGTAGAACATTTCTCACACAGCTGCAAAAGCAACATCTACCCCAGATGTACAATGCATTAATATTAGCCCTAAAACATATGAATGCAATAAAATTTGCTACAAAAAATTTATGCTTATAGATTGAGCATCAAACTTCACTGCATTCTCATTCTTACAAAGTAGATCCCTCATGCAATGGTGTTATGTGAGTAAAGCAAAATGTCAAATGAATATAGGTGATCATCATTGTCATCGTTCTTTTTATTCACGTCCTTTGGAGGCAGTAATACAAACAGCTGGATCCTCTGAATCTGCACAGAATCACCTCCGAGGCGCACCAAAATCTGGGGAATATCTATAGGTCCGTCATGATCATCAACCTTGCCTTGTTGCAAGTATAATGAGGCATATCTATGAAACATTTTGGGTTCTTGGAGGAACAAGCCATTGCCTCGAATTTGCCAGACTCTGGTACTTTTACCTAGGAAATATATTTTTAGAAAAAAAAAATATATTAACCATCGACAAATTCAAAATAACATACAATACATAGAGTAATAAACAAAACACAATGGCTAATAAACAATCATAAAGTTCAATATAACTCAAGATTTCAATAAATAAAATTAAATGACATCTATATTATATTAATAAGATAGAACCCAATTTGAATCCATTTTTACTTCAAAATTTAATCTAATTTTAATTCATTTGG